ACCTATTTACAAATAATTCCTTTAAATTTGAATCTGATTATTATACATCTATTAAAAAATCATAATGGCCGACATCAGTGACAATGTGACAACAATTAAAAAAGAATGATGGCCGACAACAGCAACAATTAAAAATGAATGATGGCCGACACTAGGTCATAGTATTGTTCACAAACCTAACCCAAGTCGTCCACCTGACAGACTAACGTCAATTATAAAATAATTTAGATTAAATTTTTATAAATACTAAAAAACGCACCAAAAGTTTCGATGTTGGCATATAATATATGAGATTATTAATTTTTGCTCGATAGTTATGTACAGGATGGCCCAAAAAGTATGCAATATGCTAATATCGCCGCGATTTTTTGCATAGCCCCATATTTGACATTCTGAACAACTTTTTCTTATAACATTTTCCGATTAGATCAATATTTAACTATGATGCCATTTAAAATAGAGCTTTTTCTTATTTTTGAACACTCTATGTAGTAAATCAAATTTAGATGGTTCAGACGATCTTGTATTAAAATAAGGAACTAGTTTTGTTTGAAAATATCGCGTACTTTTTGGGTCACCCTGTAAATAATTGGACGTAAATTCGATGGAAAATTCTTACCCGTAATTAATAAGCATAGAATACAAGTATTTTATTATTAATAAACCGAACAAAATTAAAACAAAAATGTTTTTTAGCGTGTCCAGATCTATCTATCTATTACACTTTCAAATTATTTAATTTCTGGAATAAATGTGATTAAAACGGATGAATTTAATAGCATTGTTTGAAACAATAAACGTATAAAATGCTAAATATATCTCATGAGAAAGTTTTGAAACAAATTTTACATTCTTTTCATAAAAACGTAACGTTACACAACAATTTTAAAATACTTTCCAGTCGAAATATTTGCGGTTTAGCCTTTTTTAATGGCGAGACACTTACCTGAACTATCTGTTTTGAAATCCGAGGCTCCACATCTGGCCACAACATGTCCAAAGCCTCTGGACCAACTTGAGACACTGCTTTATTATAAACCTCTCCTGTTTTCTTGTCTGACATCAAATTTTCAAAATTGTTCTACAAAGAATATTTATTTATTTCTTCTTTATGTCTACTGAGACACCTCACAACTGCTAGTAAATACATGTAACTCAAATTTAGTGATTTATCGTTCCATATGAACCTATACGATGCGCGGGAAGTCCCTTCAACGTGCAGTCTAGTGCAAAGCTGTACGATAGGGTGGAGGGCTCTTTTATTCTTATTTTACCTCACAATTGTTAGTAAATACATGATATAATAAAAAAAATTATTTAAAATGGAAATAATCAATCATTTATGTTTTTAAATAAATGATTAAAAAATAGTCGTAATATAATACCTTCAACTGTAGAAAAATTTGCCGCGAAATCCTTTAAGAAGAAAATCCTATGGAAGAGCTACGTCTTGCCATGGTTAATAGACTTCTATGCACCTTGGTGTCATCACTGCATACACTTTGAACCAAACTTTATTGCTACAGCACTAGTAAGATGACATTCTTGTCAATAATTTGAGGCTTGAAAGCATTGTTTATTATATATTTAATTATTTTACAGGCCTTAGAAGGTGTTGTAAAGAGTGGAAAAGTAGACTGTGAAACTGAAAGGGTGTTATGCAGGGAATTAAAGGTAACCAGTTATCCTACTGTGATATTATATTTATCACCCAATGAAAGAGTTTTTATCGATTCACAAGACAAATCTAAAATTATTTCATTGGTCAAAGAACACATTAAGAAAGGCAAACAATATGTAAAGGATGAACTTTAAACCAATTTTATTTTAGTTTTCATTTCTAAACTAATGCCAAAGTATTTATTGTGGTTTCTTTTTTCTACTTTTTTTGCGAAGTTATATAATTATATCTANTATCCCAATCATTGTCATAAGGTCATCAGTCCTAAGACTGGTTGGTCACGCACCTCCACCCTTTCCTATCCTGAGCTAATTTTCGCATTTCCCTAAAACTAGAACAACCCCCATTCTTAACTATTTGCGAACAGTAATGTAATCTAGATCTACCTCTACCCCTCCTAACTCCCGCTTCTGCCACTAATATGTCTCTGACTAAACCTTCATGCTTGAGAAGGTGTCCTACCAACCTATCTCACTTAATTTCTTATTGACTCCCATAGAGTCCTCTGTTCTCCTATTCTTTCTAATACCTCTTCATTTCTAACCTTTTCTACCCATGCTATCCTCATCATTCGCCTGCAACACCATATTTTGAACGCATCTAATCTTTTCCGCAGCGCCCATCGTCCATGTTTCGCACCCGTACAACGCCGCTCTCCAAACATACACCTTTAACAACCTTTCTCGAATTTCTAAATTAACCGTTCGCGAGCATAGAAGTGACAATACAGCCTTAAATTTTCATTTTTTGTTATACTTAATAAATTATTGTTGTTGGTTTGGTTTTTCTTCTTTCTCGTGGAATTATCCGGCACGTCCCGATACTCGTAATCATTATCCGGTACCCGGTCGGATCCTAAAAGAGTACCGGATCCAGGGGGTATCCGGCTCGTCTTTGATTATTACTAAATAAAATTTTTTGCAGGTGGTAAGCGCCATTGCTACATACATGGTTGTTATGCTGCAATTTCAAATAAATCAGTAATTAAAATGTATTTACAAACGAAGTGTACTTAGTAGTTTACATAAAACGTCGAGTATGTATGTTCGCAGTGCTTAATAAAATAATGTAATGTCCCCGTTTTTGTTATTTTTTTTTTATCTTGATTCCCCAACAGAACTAATTCCAATTAAAATTCACCCACCAACCCATCACAATTGATGTGAAAATTTAATTCAAAGTAAATCTCTTTACGGCATATTTACTCATTCTAATAAGTGATTAATGGTTTTCCTTTATTCATAGCTTGTACGTATGCGTATATTAATATAAGCCATCCATTCCAGTAATTTCCAACACTTCATATACAAACAATTCACTACTTACTAGTTTGAAATTTATAACGAACAGAAATGGACGAAAATTTGAATTTCGAAAAAATTATTCAACCATTATCAACATTAACTAAACGTTTAGGGCTAGCATTTTTTACATCGGAAAAGCAGACTCGAAAAACTGTATATTTTCACATTTTCGTCACGGTTGTTGTTGTTTTTGGACTGACTATCATATTTGCTTCTATTGCTTCTTCTATTTATGTTAGTCAACTCCAACTAAACATGGTCGTTCAAATAACAGATGTTATTTGTGTCATTTTGAATTCTGGCTGTTCAATATTTAGCTACATCACTTCAATGGTCTATCAGGCAGAGGTAAGTAGGTACCTGTTATCTAGTTGTTGTTGAAAATAAAATTAGGGTTCAGTGCCCACAGGATCCGGCAAAACTCGCCCACAGGATCCGGCAAAACTCTATCATTGTAACAACAATGACGGCCACTACTGCTACCAGCTCATCAGAAACTTTAAACTTTAAAACAGAATAAGCTACTAAATAGCATAATTAACATTTACGTAGGGGTTTTCTTGCCTTATCTTGTTTTAAATTATATACAGCTGTCGTCTGTAACATATTACTTATAGATGCAGAGAGCCGGGTAGGTGTCGGGATCGGTGTGGTAGCTACCAAGCGGCATGGCCTAGAAGTCTAGACCATTGCTTAGCATTCGGGAGGACGCCGGTTCGATTCCGTCTGCCTTGGTCTAAGTTTTTCTGTGATTTCCTTGGATCACTTAGGCAAATGCTGATTGGAAAAACCCTTTCCAGTAGAATTGGCATTCAATTTCCATACGGGGAGGAGTACGTCGATACTGTTAAATTTTCAGTAAGTCGAAAATTTTGCTAATAGGAACTGGCTTAATTAAAGAACAAATAAAATATACTAAAAGCCTTAAATTTATTATTCTGGAACTTTAATTACCTGCCAATATTATGAAAACCAAATTTTATTAATCACACCAAAAAATGTAGATAGTTTACCGAATTTTGAAGGGAGCTATGAATNGTTACCGTAATGCGCGTCTGAATTTTAATTGTAAATGTAGTACATTATTTGATTAATTACTTTGTATGAGCAGCTTCTTGGCCTATTCTAAGGTTTATATTGTAATTATTTTTCTTTGACCACATTTCTACGACCTTGGCCCTCAATAAGAGTAATAATACAACTTACTTATTCAAAAACAAAACAAGAACGAGAAGAAAATGAAATTTTACCTGTATTTTCTGCAGTTTAACTTTGATTTTCAACCATTCAAGATAATATGAAGGATTGTGTTTCATATTAAATCTCAACTGTGCTACAGCACTTATTGACAATCCTTGCAATTTCAACCTGAAACGTATCTTAAAATAAAAAATTATAAAAAGCAAATTTAATAAAAATGTCTTAAAAAGTAAAAAATAAATTCAANTATACCTTGTGGCTTGCGCCTTACTTTCCTTGAATTTTTTAAAGGCTAATTTGAGTTCTCCCTTTAGAGAGATCCTAATTCAATCTACCTCCACACTATCTTCGTTAGATTCATCTATTAATTCTCAACCTGCGTACAGTTTCCCTAAATATTCTTTCCACTTGTCCGCCTTTTCCTCATTTTCTAACAAAATGAATCTTGATTCGTTTCTTATTTTAATTGTAATTACTACTATACATAAAGTGTAAGCAGATGAGTCGAAATGATCTTGAAGGCTCTTTTAGATGCTCATATACTTATATATCATGGTTACTTAACCAGCCTGTTTAAATTATTATTTTTTTACATCTAATAGATGCAATTTATTAGATATAAAATTAACAATTGTTCTAGAAGACAGAAGGTCTACTAATGATAATAGAAATTGATGATGCGCTGAAGAATGGAGGAATTGACAATTTTACAGTTGAATACAAAAGAGAAAAATCTTTATTAAGAAAACTTTTATTTGGTTACGTCCTGCATGGCATTTTACTTTGGAGTACTGATTTTCTTGGATTCGGAATTACTATTCCAAATTTTTTTCTTAGCTTTCTTTTTAAATCCTTTATAATAACCACTTTAGTTCTAGTTCAGTTTCTTTTTTTAATGTATGTTCTTCAACGAAGATTCTTTTTACTTAATGAACTACTTAGAGCAGCTTTGAAAAATATATCCAAACAACAAATTGAAAGAATGGAAGGGTGTTCAACAATTGAAATAGTTTCAAACACAACGTAAGTTGAATATAAATTCTAATTAACGAAATTAACTAACAGACATATATAACTACATTTATTCCTTAAATGATTGTTATTTAAAATGATTGCTATTTATTAATAACATATTTTCTATTCTTCCACGTTATACATACTTACTTAACTTTACTTTCGTCATAATTTCCCAATAATTATTTACACCTTTTTTCAAGAATGTAATAATTTTTGTTAAGAAATATTCAACTTCAACGTAAATTTTTTAAAATAACAAAACACTTGGTTATAGATTTATTCCACTTCAAATTTAAAGTTATTATTTCTTTTTAATGTTTGTAAAAAAAGTCATGCAAAGAAGTTCAATAAAATATTCAATCCTATCTAATGATAAGATCATTCCTTCCATTGCGATAATTATTAACATAAAAGGTTTTTCAAGTCACTTTGTATTTATATTTCGAATATTTAAAAATAATGATATACTTACATGAAGTATAAAATATTAAAATATAAAATTTGGATATTCAAGTATTTCACTAAAATTTTTATCTTAAATAAAATCTAATTGTGCATTCTAGCGCCCTCTTACCGCAGCAAACATTTTATAGTCTTGAATAAAATCTAAATTGTGCATTCTAGCGCCCTCTTATCGCAGAAATTTAAACATAATTTTAATACACTTTACACATAGTCGTATCAAATGGGGATATATTAGAATTTTACTTCGGCTAAATAAAGTCATTTTAGATTCTGCATTTCCATGAAAAAGTTATATGAAACGCTCGCTTTAATTTATAAAATCCACTCAGCTCTTTTTAAAGCTGCAGATATAATATTTAAATGTTATACTGTCGACAACCTATTCATCGTCACAAGATCATTAACTAATCTGATAATGCTTATTTTTACTCTAACCAGTTATTTTACTACACATGATTTGACTTTTCTGAAAGACATGTTAATTGTCTATTGGTTGCATTTTGTGGTAGCCTTTATCGCAAATTTTGGTCAAATCTGCTTACTATCAGCATTTTGTAGTAGGATTAAATATGAAGTAAGTTTTTATTTCATCCATCCTTAAGTTTAATATATTAAACGCTGCTTAATTTCTAATTTAGGTTCTGCAAACAGGCAAGATTATACAAAGTCATCATACTCTTACTTTTCCAGAAAATAACGAATATACTAATTCAATAAAATTTCTGGTTTGTAAAAGATTCTAAACCTTAGAATACGAATAGATAGTTCTTTATAGTTCTTATTTACCTAATACAAAATTAATAATATATTTCAGATGCAGCTTATATCAACTAGAATGCTTCATGAAAATATGGTCTTTTCAGTTTGCAATTTG